TCTTCTAGAAACAAACTTTGTTGTATTATTTTCATGTTTTCACTGTGAAGCTGCTTTGATACAATCTGTATTGTAAAAAGCGCTATATAAATAAAGGTGACTTGACTTGACTAATAAAGATTATTAATAAAGCAATCTTTAGTGGCAGAAGTGATAGGTCTAACATATTTGTAACACGGAGTCGGCTTTGCAGCCTTGGCTAAATGGAGTTTACACGAGACTAGATAATGATCTGAGTTGTCATCGCTCTGCTGCAGAATTTCAACAGCATCAACATTGATTCCATTGAGGAACATTGATTCCATTGAAATTTCCATTCCATCGAAAACATCAATAATCCAATGAGACTTATGAAAATAATCTAAATATCAATAGGTAATATTAAATCAGCAAGATACTTATCAAATAATCGTGTCCTCCTTTTTTGTGTAGACAAAAAACAACAAGAGACTGTGTTGAAGATCAAATGGTTAGGTGGTGCAGCAGTCAAATGTCACAGGGGAACTTGACCTCCTGAGGAGTGCCTCTGTCCTTGTCTGAGGAGGTACTAAAGGCACAGATAACGAATGAAATGGTGACTAAAGTGAAGCGTTTGCCTTCCAGTAGAAATGGTAGAAAAAAAAAGTAGTACTACTGTTGTATTAACTTTCAATTGCAAAAACTTGCCAGAACGCATCAAAATTGGATATGTGTGCTATACTGTTCGTCCGTATGTGAGACTAGCACTGTGATGTTTTAATTGCCAAAGATTGGGTCATGTCACAGCAGATATGTAAAGGGAAAAGAAGATATTGCACATGTGGTGTGGAGATCATGATTATGGGCAATGTGGAGAGGGGGTTGAACCCAAATGTTGTAATTTGTGAGGGCCACAGTGCAGCGTTTATTGACTGTAAAGCCCCAAAACAAGCTACAGAAGCAATGAAATACAAAACAGTAAAACATATTTCACATGCTTAAGCAGTTAAGCAAGTACAATTTTGTGGCATTTATAGCAGAAGTCATTAACTGCTCAGCTCAAACAACCAAAAGCTGAAAATTATAATATCTGCAGCTGCTCGACACTTGGGCATTAGGCCTACTGAAATTCCAGTAGAACAGATTCAGATGCTACTTGGACAAACAGAAGGAACTGCAGTGATTTGTGATCCTTCAGGAAGTCAAAGAAGTAAAACTATTAAATGAAAATACTGCAATGGAATGCCCGAAGTTTGATTGTGAATGGCCAATAATTTAAAATGTTTGTACACAGAGCCGGCCGAGCCACTAAGCGACCGTTGCAATTGCAAAGGGCCCCGTGGCCAGCAGAGGGCCCCCTAGAGTCACTGCTAGCTAGTGGGGGGTGGGGGTTGAATCGCACAACAAAAGTAACATAAAATAAATAAATAAAAAGAAATGGACCTACAGCGCTCTTTATCAGGCATCATGATAAGCACAGAGTTGTTATTTATTTAGTTTTGTATTATGGCAAATCAACCGGGAGCTCCCCGCGAAGGCGCGCGCGCGTCTTGATCCCGACTGCTATGATGTCATGTCACTCGTTGTCACTTGGTCAGTCAGTTAGCGACTCCGACGAATCGACGATGTCTGACAAGAAACGAAAATATCTTTCTGGCCAAGAAAAACGACAAAAAAGAGCCTGGAAGAAGAGAAGAAGCAGGAAGATAAAGGTACGTAAGCCTGTAGGCTTAATTTTCCGATTTCTGTAATATGGATAATCTGCACTAAAAGTCTTATATTAACATTAGCCTAAATCGTGCTTGTATTAATTTTCTACAGTTGTTTAGCTTACATGCTAATAACATGCTGCATAAAATTGGTTTAGTATTAACGTTAGGCCTATACCATTTGCTGTGGTGTTACTGTTTAAGCATTTAACAGAACAATATAAACCCAGTTTGGATTCTACACTAAAGGGCTAACATTACTCCTTATGTCCCCTTAGGAGCACTATTAAAGTATGCTGCCAGTAAGCAAAGCTCCAGCTGTTGGTGAGTATAAAGGGGCTGTAAAATGATAACCTTCTGCATTTTAAAAATTAAGTCTAACTTTATGTATAATTATTTTCTTTATTTGGATTGGATTTTAATAGTTATATTGAAATGTTACCTTATTCTTAATATTGTTACTATTGATCTTCTTTGTGGCGTTTTAGATGTTATTGTTAATTTTGTTTATTTGAAAAATCTATTTATTATTTTATATAACATTATATTTAAATGTTATTCTATTTGCTCTATTTAATTTAAATGTTATATATATATATATATATATATATATATATATATATATATATATATATATGTGCTGTAGTTTGTGACTCTTAAACTCTGGTGTCAATAAAAATGTATCTTTGTTCAGTGAAAATCACTTTATCTGTCTTTTTATTCAGCAAGTTAATCAGTGTGTGTGTGTGTGTCTTGCACTGCCATTCAGCTCAGTGGTATCATAATTTTCCTGTTAGACATCAAACATAGTATATACAGTATAATATAGTTATATAGTATGGTATAGTTATAAGGTAGTCATTGCTTTTCTTTAGGCCTTAAAACGGTCAAAGGGGCCTCCAACCAAATTTTGCTTAGGGCCCCCAAAGGTCTAGGGCCGGCTCTGTTTGTACATCAGTTAACAGTGTTAACAGTGTAACAGACTTGGCTTCATCGGCAATTAAATTTGATCATTCCTGGGTACAAGTTGGTTAGAAAGGATGGAATTGGATCAATTAGTGGGGGATGTGGAAGCTTTGTAAAAGATGGGGTAGCTTTTAGAGAAATAATATTAGATACTCAGAGTGAATGTGTTGTTGTAGAGCTATGGACACATGGAAAGGGGATAAAGGTTGTCAACTTTTATAATCCATGCAATCAGTTAACATACAATACGAACCAAGGCTGGGGATAATTTGATATGGTGTGGGGATTAATTCACTTTCACTTTAATTCACTTTGGGGAAGCACTTCTAATGCAAGGTAGAAGAGTTTATGGAGGAACAAGCTTTAGTATGTTTAGGCCTAAATGATGGGAAGGGAACCAGATTCAATATAAGGTATTCATCAGCTTCTTGTCTAAATATAACAATAGTTCCTGGAGCTATAGCTTTTTCCCAATAATACGTGTGGTGAGAATGATAATTTATCAACAAAATCAAAAAATAAAGCAAACTAGGTGGAGGTTTGATAAAGCTGACTGGGATCCATTTAACAAGTTATGCATTGATGAAATGGTGAATATAGTACTGAAGTTGAACGGACTTATGTTCTGACAGATAAAATTAAATTAATGCAGCGGAAGAATCCTAAATCAGAAGGTAAAGGATGAATATTGTTCCTTGGTGGAATGAATAATGTACTAAAGGAGTTAAAGATAGAAGTCATTCAGGGAGCTAAGGAAAAAAATAATACCTACTGTACAACTTTAATAATATATCAGAGGAAACGGGCACAGGCAAGGAAAATAATAAAGCAAGCTAAAAGGAAATATTGGCTATCATTTTGCTCCACAATAGGAAAGGGAATCTCAGTTGGGAGAAGTATGGAGTGTCCTAAAAAATATGGTTGGAGTTTATAGAACTCAGAATATTCCAGTTTTAGCAGATGAATGGAAAACAGCAGTGACTGAAGAAGAAAAAGCTCAACTGTTAGTGTACACATTTCAAAAAGAGAATAAGAGAAGGATGGAAGAAATTTTAAAGCAACATCAAGATATTTATATAATGTCTACATGTGTATCTGAATGCATACTGAAAAGAAATGACTTTCCTCCATATGGACTAGACTAGAGCTATAAGGCCATCTAGTGGCAAGAGTCATGAAATATCATGTTATATTATTTTTTTTCCACAAGAGGTCGGCAAAGACACCCAATGTAAGATATTTTGAGCTGAATTAAAAGGGTTATGCATGAAATTGTTAGCCTGGCATGCCAGACCTAACCTGGCCCTAGCCAGATTAATTTCGCTCCGCCTAGCTTCACTCACATCCATCTGGAACCTCTTCCATTGAGAGTGATTTCTCCAACCAACTTTATGGTTTAGCCAATCAGGACGCAGGGCGGGAGTTTCATAGATGTGACGTAGTGGAGAAGCGACCGTGAGACTGTTTTGATTCAGACAACAATGGCGGCTCGCATCGAGGAAACAAGCGTTAACATTGATGCTGTTAACATTGATTTCATCCGTGTTGTCCAATCTACCTAATATTGTTTCATTAAAAGAACATCAGAGAACGGCTCTTAAGGCTTTTGTTGGTGGAAACGATGTTATATAGATCAGTGCCTTCTCCCGACCGGATTCTTCAGCGTCACGGGTTGGCTTCGGTGTGAGTGGTTGAAATAGCACGTCGATAAAGATGACAGACAAGTGGCTTAATCCAATCATATGCAAGGATTTTTGATAAGGCCCAGCCTTCTGAAACGCCATTTCAATGGATGTGATGTGAGTGAAGCTAGGCGGAGCGAAATTCATCTGGCAAGGGCCAGGTTATGCCAGACCTACATCAAGATGTTATAAAACATCTAATTTTCGCTGCCGCTAGGGTGCGTCTAGATTTCTAGGCTATGAAATTGTAAGTTATTCTGAATTTGAGTTGAAAGAATGTGAGGAATGTGCTTAAATTACAATTTATTTATTATTTATTGATCAAATCTAGTAATTTAAAGGTAAATAAAATAAATAACAACAAAAAATCTCCAAAAGAATTGCATTTAAAAATAGAAAAATAGTATCAAAAAAAAAAGAAAAAGATTTCTGGATAAAACAATTAAGTATAATTTTAGGGCTTTGGGTCATTTTGAAAATGTGATAATGTGTTACAAAGTGTGAGGGAAGGATGAAGGTTTAAAAGTGGGTCTTTATCCGTTTTGGGGATCAAATAAATAAGACCCTGCTTCATTGTGGAAGTCATCTCTCCTTTTTAAATTCATTCTTTAAACAAACTATGTAGAGGTTGCTTTAAGACGTCCCCAAAATGGAAATGTTCCTCTCTTCCTGTACACGTCGCTCTACGGCCAGTGTGACGTATGCATTAGCCTGCAGCCACAGGAACACAGCATTGAATTAAACCATGGAGACTCTCTTCAGCCTACCGTTTGCTGTACTGGAATGCCCGAATGTCAAACTTAAAAAACCATCATGGCTACATATGCCCTCTGCAATGACCGTATATGCCGTCGTGATTGTTTCATATTTTCTCATCACCGGTGGTAAGAGTCTCAAAGCAATCTGAGGCTAAACTAGCTTTTAGCTAACTTACTAACCCTTATCCTGTTGTCTGTGCACACAGCACAACCGTTTATTTACAAGTTATATTTTGCAGTGGAAACTTTGAATTACAGTTCAGTTGAATATGAATATGCATGCTTTCGTGCTTTGTGAAATAATCTCAAATTATTGTACACAGACATAATGACTAACGTTACTCTCCGCTCCTTACTAACGTTACATTACATGAACAAGAATTAATCGGAAGTTTATTATTATTTTGCTAGATATTAAATAGCTAAATAAATCATTTTAAGTGCGACATTAGTCTGTCTTAGTCTAAAATTACTGTTTAAAACTGTGATCATACTGCTACCATACTCTTCTGATCTCTTCAGGCATCATATACGATGTGATCGTTGAACCTCCGAGTGTCGGATCAATGACAGATGAACACGGACATCAGCGGCCAGTGGCCTTTCTGGCGTACAGGTAAGTTAATGGTTTCCATTTTATACAGCCTGTCATTCATAACATCAGTACAAAACAAAACAAAAAACTCTTCATTCTCTTCAGATGAGTCACTTCACTTTTGCCAGAGACCTTTCACTTTATGCCATAGGCCTATATAATACTTTTTTAAAGTTACCCCAACAAATTAAAATCGTCATCTTAAACATCATATATTGTGTGGGTACAGGATTAGTCTGTAGTTTTATTGCTGTTCAAATCCAGAATTTCTGTGATGTTCTCCAACCACCGGCATACAAATCTCGACCAAATTACCAGAGCTAACCAAAATACGTGACTGCAATGTAATCTAATGACCAAACTTTCGTTGTGGCAACATAACTTTGTCACAACCCAAGTATAGGTCTTTTAAAATTCCTAAATTCGTTGCCAGTTGCATGCAGTATGATGCTGCTTTACAAACAATTTATTGAATCTGTCCATTCCTTTTGTATTGTTGCATGGTATGCCCTAGTGAAAAAAAGTATACTTTATTGTATTTGAAATATATTCCATTTTTCAATAGTACATTGCAAAACAAACAGTACAATTTTTGTTAGTAATATGTTTAAATATATTAAAAGTATACTAGCATCATGCTTTTACCTATTTTCACAATACAACTTTTAACACACTTTAAAATAATTGTACTTGGAGTTGGTCCAATTTAGTACACAAAAGTACACTAAATACACTTAAAGTTATGCTTTACTGCTATTTAATTACAACTAAAATATACTTGGTACAAAATTAGTTGTTTCAAAATAGCACACTTCAAGTTAACTAATCATTAACACACTTGAAGTATATTGATAATTAGTCTGGCTGCAAGTATACTTATTTTTTTTTTCACCGGGGTGGTACTCTAAGTTTGACTAACAAAAGCAGGTTAAGTAGCCTTGTAAAGGTAGCACAGTTCTCTCACACTTTTTAATAAGGAGGGTCAATTCTTGACTTTATAACCGTTTACATAGGACATTTGCACTGTAAGAATGTACAGGGAGTTTGTTTACGCATTGAAATCAGACTGTGCAGTGGCTTCTCTTGTTATGATGTCATGAGCAATTCAGTTCTTTATTATTAGCAACGTTTGTAAATGGCATCTTAAAGCTGCAGTCCGTAGCTTTTTTAAGTTAAAAATAATCCAAAATAATTATATTAAAAAAAACGTATTCTGCCAGTGGTCAAAACTATCTGCTTGCCATAGCTAGATTCAAAACGGTTAGCTTGTAATAATGATTTTAATTCCAGTGGTACTGGTGGGTTTCCGCGGGAAATTCGAGCATGTCTTTGCGTCATTACGTCACACCCGTACACATAAAGGAGGAGTTTCGGCTAGCCGGCTATACTGCGCGTGACGAGATGTTTAGATGTATAGGCTTTTCTCGCAGCACTTTACATAATTAAACTTATGGCATCCAGAAAGATCCAAACAACAATCATCAGTGTCAACTGGAGATTCAGCAGTTATAAAACCCAAAAGACTTCGTACTTCGGATTTAAGGTGGCTAGAGAAAGAGAAAGAAACCGTCTCATGTGAACACAAGGATTTAAACATCGGCGGGGCTTTTGAAAAGTGCGTGAACTCCGTGTTTTGAAGGGGTTCAAAACGATAGAAGAGACGGCTTTTTTCTGCTGAACAAGTAAGTTAAGACATTTCAATAGTTCAATCGTGTAACAGTACGTTTTCTTAATTCACAGTTATGGAGTTTCCTTTGTTGTGCCTTTCTCGTTTTGCTATTATGGAGAATATGAATTCTGAACTACACAGGTAACCATAAAACACATTAAATTTAACATTAGTCACGCAATGCTGATGTGATGTTGTTAACATGAACAATTTGAGAACAAAGTAGGCTATAATTTGCACGGTTGCTGTAAATCGCGTTGATTAAATCTAACGAAGCTTATGTCGAATGCTTTTTCCCCCTTAGTTGGTCAGAACAAAAATGGATGTTACTTGTTCTGAAGACATTTTCTTATGAAAATTCTTATGTTGGTCAAACTTTCAAAAAGTGAATCTGTGATTCTGTATGACAGTATCCACACAGCGCGGTGACTGACAGCACCACTCGCCTCAAAACACTGTGTTCATCCGCGCTGTTTCATGCCGATTTACAACCCACGTAAAGATGATAATTCCACGAATCACTGCAGTTACAGATTTCGAACAGAGAGATGGCGACAAAGAGGAAAAGCTACGGACTGCAGCTTTAAATATAACTGCGATAGAATTATGTCATGCATTGTCTACACTGGGTGTAGTTGTGCCTGGTCATAGTTTAGTTGGTGCAACAGGTATTAAATATTTATCGGACGTAGCTAAGTGTAGAGCCATGCAGCGAAGTATCCGTGAAATGATTTGACAATTATTACCAAACTTTGTATGTGTCATTGTCACCTCACATTGACCACAACCTCATCAATTTGGTAACAGTGCCACTTAATGGTCAAAAGTCACAAGAAATTAAATCATTCATATTGTTTCAGCTTTTGTGCCTTAGTTAATGCATTAGTTAATGTTATAAACAAACATGAACTAACAATGAGCAATACATTTGTTACAGTATTTATTAATCTTTGTTAATGGTAGTTAATAAAAATCCATTGTTCATTGTTTGTTCACGTTAGTTCACGGTGCATTGACTAATGTTAAAGGCCATGAATCGATTTTTTTCCATATTTATTTATCACTCAAAAGCATTTTCCTACACTGTTCATAGGCTTGCAGCCTCCATGTTACAGCTAATGCTGTTAGATTTTATGTTTGTTTTATCTTAAACATAAAATAACCTGATCCTGTTCAAGACATGCCACTGTTCTGACTTGTCTAATATTCAGCATAAATTGTTCATCTTGCATCAAAATCCTGTCTATTCATTGTATGCATTTGAAATATAGAGTTGGCTTCTGTTTTAATGTACCCAAGTGTTCCTAAAATAAAAAGAGTTTAATATACAGGTTTGTTTAATTTCTTTTTTATTAATTAACCACTTGTAAACTTATGTTCACTGTTAAATCTATATTCATTGAATCGAATCGGAAATCGAAAATCGAATTTAGAGCTTGTGAATTGAAATCGAATCAAATTGGAACATCTGAATCGATACCCAGCCCTTCAGTCAGTACAACATTGTAATGAAGATTCCTTATGTTTTTGGAAACCTTGTTTTAATATACGTTGATTTTTGACGTGTGCAGAACAGCACAACAGTGCTTCTGTGATCTCTGTAGCTAGTCTCTCTGAATGGTTGTGTTCTCTCTTAAAGGGTGAATGGGCAGTACATCATGGAGGGGTTGGCATCCAGTTTTCTCTTCACCATGGGAGGCCTTGGCTTCATAATTCTGGATCGCTCTAATGCACCCAACATTCCCAAGCTCAACCGTTTCCTCCTGCTATTCATCGGCTTTGTCAGCGTGCTACTGAGCTTTTTCATGGCCAGAGTCTTCATGAGAATGAAACTGCCGTAAGTCACTACACTTTAGCTTTTTTAACATTTATTTATGTTTATATTATATTACACTATTACAGTGGAAACACCTACTGATTATTTAATATTATTTGGGGCCAAGCACCGAAGGTGCATATAGTCTTCGTCTTCCACATTTGAGTCTATGGCAACCCATAGAACTGTAACTTTTTAACTTTTAGAGCTAGAAATTCTTTTTCCCTCTGAAGATGATCTGAGCAATGTTCTAGGAGTTGTCTTGAGCCAAGGAATCAGACCATGCCGACAAAAACTTGGTGTGTGTTATGACAACCATGACCTGAGGAGCAGTTTTGGCAAAGTGCCACCTCTGGAGAAATGAAAAATAGATATTTTTGCAATAACTTCTGTAAGGTTTGGCCAAAAATCACATCTCTTTAGATTCAGTACAGCATACCGAGTCGAACGACATCCAATTTTCCCACGTCCCACATTTTGTGCATCAACCATTTTGAATATGGTTTATGAACGTATTGGCGTATTGTTACGAAACTTGGTATGTGTCTTCGACATGATGCCTTGAGATACTCAAAAAGTTTCAGGCAGCATCACCTTGTGGTTAAAAATTCTAATTACATTTCAAATAAATGCTAACAGCTTTTGATTCATTTTTCCTATTGTCATGAGACTATTAACGGTATGACTCATGATGTAAGGAACATATCAAGACCAATGATACCAATTAATCCATAGTCTATCAAACTTATCCGATATTTTGAATTTCTTTGAAAACCTACTTTTCGAACTCCTCCTAGACCATTGATCCAATTTTTACCAAATTTGATTCAGATCATCTTTAGACCATGCCAGCAAAAAGTGATGGTATGTTGATACACCAAACCGTTATCATTTATCTCATTAACTAATTTGATAGCATGATGCCAAACTGAATCCTAGGCTGTATCTCTGCAATGGTTTGACATATTGACACCAAACTTTGTGTGTGCCATTCTCCACTTTTCCACCATTGGGCCAAACCTTTCTCGTTGCTTAACTGTTACATCCGTGCCGATCCGGCCCAGCCGGTACAGATCCGGTTTAATTTTCCAATGTGGGGCTTATAACAGAGCTCTGTGCAATGTAATGCAAATGCGTCAGTTGTCGCTTTGGTAACGCAAGAGTTTACTGACATAGATGTAAATGACAATAGCGTTACGGAAGATGATCCTGTATTTCTTTTACTTTTATGATTAACTTGTGTTTACTTAGTTCATAGCGCGCGCTTAGCCAGCTACTAAGAAACTGTTAGCCAGGCAACAGACAAGCAACCAATCCAGAGTGGCGATGTCACTACACGCATTATACCAACACGGTTCATTATGGTTTCTCAACGGTTTGCAATCGTGCCATGCTGAACCAAAGCTGAAGTGGAAATATAACTGGAACTTTTCCTTATCGTTCTTAGAACCGTTTGGCCCAACAGTGTAAATGTGGTTATTGTCATCCCACACTGACCATGCCACATCAATTTGGTGACAGCGCCACCTATTGTTAAAAGTCATAAGTAATTAAATCATATTAAAAGTGATTCTATTTATGATTTGTACCTGTTTTGGCTCAGATAATCTAAAACTGTCTTTAATTACTTATTGTAGTAGTTGTTGTGTTTGGGTCCATTAATTGCTGCTTGCAGCTATATGATGTTGTTGTTATTCTCAGTGTATAGCAGGGAGATAGCAGCAATGTTTTAGCTGTTTCTTTAAAACTGTATACATGCATCATAGTTTGGTTTAAGATTAATCTCTGTTGTCTTGCTTTTGATGATTAACAGAATGTGTTTGTCTTGCAGTGGTTACCTTATGGGTTAAAGCTGCAATATGGCATAATCCGCTTGAGAGATTAAAGAGAACATACAGAAAACCATTTCAGTGCCAAGGACTCAATCAAACGCTGATCAATTATTTCCACTAGCAGAAATCTCCTCCCTTATTGTTTTGTTTTTTTTGACACATGCAACTTGTTGGACTCTTATTGTGTTAAATTTACTTCTTGACATTGCTGATAAAAAACATCTTATCACATTTCTCTAAAGTCCAAAGGGTGGTCAGTATTATATTGATGCCCTTGAAAATCATTGTTGTGGTCAAGCTAAATCCATTTTGGAATATCTCCTTTTACTGTTATTTTGTAGACAGCCTGCTCTGTGAAAACCCTTGAATGTGGCTGTTTGATGTGCAGTTTTTTCTATAATAAACAAATGTACTTCCCACAATGAATTATTTGATTTTTCAAACTTTTACTTTGTGAAATTAAAGTTTAGGAAAATATTATTTAAAATGGAAGGTTCTTTTAAAGTTATTTAAATATTTTTTTCATTTAATAGATTTAAAATGCAATAAGGCTTATATTGTCACCTTAGATGTTTTTTTTTTATACTTTCAATTTTTATTAGAATTTTATGTCAACAATAAAACAAAAAGGGAAAAAGTAAAATAAAATAAATAACATACATTGAACAAAATCAGAGGAGGCCAAGGAGGAGGTACCTAGTACAATTGAAACAAAAATAAGTCTAGTTGTACTCATCGGAATCACTGTTCAATAAACCTTACATTTACAATACGTCTACCATCTTTGCATAAATTTACCAGAAACACCTTAGATGTTTTGATAACTTTCAAACACTAGAGAGCAGCACTGAAGACTAAACTTTATTTTTTTTTTGCAAATAAAGAAACAGCACTGCATTGTGTACACTAACATAAAATGAAAAGGAAAGAGAAAAAAAAAAAAACTCAACCAGTAAGAAAAATAGTATCAAAATTCTTAAGAAACTTGTTCTTCTTATTGTTATCAATGAGTTTAAGAGATTTTACAATAAGGGAGATCTCAGCGATAAAGACTTACAATCTAGGCAATGTATTGAGAAATTTGTTTTTGTGAATAAAACATTTACAATGCAACACAAAGAAATTAACAACAAGAGTAATAGCATAGTCTCGTAGAAAAATAAAGATATATATCTTTCAATGAAAAGTTTAAATCACATTTTATAAAAGGAGAAAGATGACAACTTAAGTTCTCCCAAAGAGATTTAACCTGATTGCAATGGTAGAATAAATTAAGCAAAGTTTCTTCCTCAACTTTGCAAAATACACATATGTTAGAAAGATTAACAAAAGTAGAAATCTGGGAGTTGGTTGGATAGACATTATGTAGAATCTTGAAGTGTACCTCTCTTATCTTATTGGACATACAATATTTTTTCAGGGAGTACCACGCTCTCTTCCACTCAATACTGTAAATAAAAAATTTCAAGGGGGTGTGTAAACTGTGTAATGTAACAATAGCTTAATATGTTTACGATTACATTTTTTAATCAAGAAAACAAACTCCATCCAATAAAAGTTTTGGCATAATTGTTTTTCTCTCATTAAAGCAAATGTGTTTTAAATAAGTACACATAACTTTGAGACGAAGCTTTGATGACAGAATTGAAAGTCCTAGAAGGCAGAGGAAAATTATACAAAGTCATAAATTGTTCATACTGCAGTATACTGCCTTCATTTTTAAATAAATCCGAAACAAAAAACAATACCTCGATCATACCAATTGTTAAAAAAAAAGAGGATTTGTTTCGGATTAAAATGTTCGAATTATTCCACAGAATTTCTTTGTGAGGAGAAAAGTTTTGCATGTAGCACAATTTGCAATCAAGTAAAACTTGTTGGTGAAATTTAGAGAGAGAAATCAGTCATTTAGAAGGGGTGAAATTAAATTTTAAAAGAAACTCTAAGCCACCTAATCTACGAAATATGGTATTGGGGATATAGTACCAAATTAAGGTCATTACTACAAAGACATTTTTTTAAACAATTCTCAAGGAGCTGATTAATTCCTTAAAATTTAAAACTTCCAGTCCACCCTCAGAACGTCTATTAGACAAAACAGATTTCCTAACTGTGAGAGATCTGTTCTTCCAAATAAACTTCAATAACATTTTGTCAATATCATCACAATTGTCACTAACATTTGTTAGTGACAATTAACAAAAGGATAGAGGATTAATAATAATAATAATAATAATAATACATCAGACTTTTATAGCGCTTTTCAGGACACTCAAAGACGCTTCACATGGGGAAATAAAAAACAAAACAAAAACAAAAGGATAAAGGATAGAGAGGGATAAACACAACAGACAAACCCTCTGCTTTGGATATAAGAACTCTACCATTGATTGACAGGTCTCGTTGTAGCCAACAATTGGCTTTATGCACAGCTTCACTACTTCCTGAACTTCAGCCAGCCCTTTGTTTCCTGTCTGTCATTATTGGACAAACTGATTAATCCAGGTGTGCCTGGCCTCAGTAACAATAATCAGGCACACCTGGATTAATCAGTTTGTCCAATAATGACAGACAGGAAACAAAGGGCTGGCTGAAGTTCAGGAAGTAGTGAAGCTGTGCATAACGCCTATTAGCAATCTATCTTTAGTAAGGAAAATCCCCAGGTACTTGATACTGTCTTTTACGGGTATATGGTGTATCAATGACAAAGTATCATAAAGTCACTAAGAGTATCATAAAGACAAAAAAAGTTCACACTTTGATACATTTAAATATAAACCCGAGGCTTCAGAGAAAGATTTAATAATAGTGATACTCAAGGGAATTTGACTTTGGTCTTTAAGAAATATAGTACTATCATCGGCCAGTTGAGATATTCAAAATTCTTTACCAAATTTAGAGATACCTTTTAAACTGGGATTTTGTTAAATATTAATTGATGACAATTCAACAGCTAGAAGAAAAAGAAATGGGGAAATGGGGCAACCTTGGCGCACTCCTCTATCACAATGCGTTTAGTAGTTTGAAAGCCAACCAAAACTGAGAAATTAATGTCATATAAAGCATTCTCACCATGTTGATAAAAGTACATCCAAAACCAAAAACGCTGAGAGATTTAAGCAATGGTGTTCTAAAGAGTCAAATGCTTTATAAAAATCCAAAAACATAAAAATATTCTCTGAATAATCAATGAGATCCAGAAATAATCTTATATTGGAGCTATGTCTATTTTTCATAAATCCATGTTGTATTTCGCCAATTAGGCTTTACCATTAAGGGCTGATTTTATACGAACTGCAAATATTAAAGCAAGTGATTTATAATCAACATTTAACAGCAATATTGGTCTCCAGTTCTCAGTTAAAAGTGGGTCTTTATCGGTTTTGGGAATCAGAGTAATAAGTAGTGATGGGAAGTTCGGTTCTTTTCCGCGAACCGGTTCTTTCGGACAGTTCGTTTCAATGAACCGGTTCAAAAAACCGGTTCACCAGTTCTTTTACGTCCTCGCGTAATGACGTCAATTATATCATCCCGGCGGATAAAAATACTTTAAATTAAAGGCATTTGTAATCATACCTTCACTTAAATAATAGTACTCATCGTCATAATCCTCTTGGAGAAGTTTCTTACATTTACATTTTGCAAACGAACCCTGTAGCCTACAGGCGATGTGCAAACGCGGATGTTTAACATGTCTTACATATATAAAGTGCAAAGTGCATAAGTGGTCTTCATCATTTTATTTGTAATAAACTTACATTTCGCCGCATTCGGCCCCTCATTTAAGTCCTCGGTTCACCCGTGCTGCGTGCTCATCAGCACATCATCAGTTGGCCGAAAGAAAGTTCTGTTTAGAGACGGTGCTATCACGCATGCGCAGTATCTCCAGCTCATCGGTTCTCCGTATCGAACGTGTCCGAAAGAAACAGTTCTCGGTTCTGGACTGGTGATTCAAGAACTGCAACAACCAGTTCTTGGCTCGAGAACCGTAGCATAGGCCTGTGTGCTGAGCTGAGAACTGCTGAAACCTGAATATACAGTCGACAAAACTAAAAAAATCGATGCATGTCTTTCTTCTCCAATATGTTTAATACGTTATGTTTTAACACATTATAAACATTTACTAAGCAGTACTGTGCAGTGTGCACCATTAAAACTTTGGCAAGAGTTTACATCAAATATTTATATCAACTTACTTAGAAATTAAATGAGCTGTTCCTGAAAATATTATTTTAATAAATGTTTAGTTTGACAGTTTTACAATCCATTCATTGTGTTTCCAAACTTTAAAATAATACAGTGATAATACAGTAATTATGTGATAAACATGTTAAACATGTTTCCAACATGTTTTTTTTTATTACACTTACTGATATTCAACTAAATAAATACTTAAGAAAGGTACATTTCGTCCCTCAGAAAAAAAATTGCACGCATGCTCAGCTCATCGATCAGTTGTTCTCATTATGTCGAACGTGTCCGAAAGAAACAGTTCTCGGTTCTGTACTGGTGATCCGATAATCGCTGTACATGTGCGTTAGGTAGTACGCGCATGCGCAGTATCAGCTGCTCGTGCTCATCACTTCTCTCAAAAACAACACGGTTCAAACTGAAATATACTCCGGGATATTGGTTTATTTCGAGTCAGAGGGACTGTCAGGCATGTCTGAAAGTGAGTAACTTTAGTAACTTGTGTATCAGCACTGACGCAAGGCGCGAACTGTTTCGAACGATTCAGTCCGATTTAGTGTACTGGTTCGACCGGTTCACTAAAAAGAACCGGTTCAAAAGAACGATTCGTTCACGAACCGGCCATCACTAGTAATAAGACCTTGCTTCATTGTGGAAGTCATCTCTCCTTTTCTAATACATTATTTAAACAAACTAGGTTGCATTAAAGGATAAGTTCACTTTAAAAAAAACTTTTGCTGATAATTTACTCACCCCCATGTCATCCAAGATGTCCATGTCTTTCTTTCTTCAGTCGAAAAAAAATTAAGGTTTTTGATGAAAACATTCGAGGATTTTTCTCCATATAATGGACTTCCATGGGAACCAGACGGTTCAAGGTCCAAAAGACAGTTTCAGTGCAGCTTCAAAGGGCTTTAAACGATACCAGACGATGAATAAGGGTCTTATCTAGCGAAACGATCGGTCATTTCAAAAATAAATAGAAAAGTTGAAGTTTAAAAAGCACAAATGATACACGTTCGTGACTAATGACTCGAAAAAAGATTCGTTCATTTTGAGAGTCACGAACGTGTATCATTTGTGCTTTTTAAACTTCAACTTTTCTATTTATTTTTGAAATGGCCGATCGTTTCGCTAGATAAGACCCTTATTCATCGTCTGGTATCGTTTAAAGCCCTTTGAAGCTGCACTGAAACTGTCTTTTGGACCTTGAACCGTCTGGTTCCCATGGAAGTCCATTATATGGAGAAAAATCCTCGAATGTTTTCATCAAAAACCTTAATAATTTCTTTTCGACTGAAGAAAGAAAGACATGGACATCTTGGATGACATGGGGGTGAGTAAATTATCAGCAAAAGTTTTTTAAAAAGTGAACTTCTCCTTTAAGACGTACCAAAAATGTAAATAAAATTCAACGGATAGACCGTCAGTACCTATATAAACTATAAACTGACGATTATTTTTCTAGATGTCATTTTAAATATTCTAAAAAGGATCTTTCATTCTACATCAGTTTTCCCCCCTCCATGTTGTCTTTTATCTAGAGGGTGTTTTCCACTCCATTACTATTCGACAGGAGTGATTCTCCTGCTGTTTTACTGTGGCAGACATCAGCAGAACCTGCTGAAGTGCGCATTTGTTCAGGTATGCGTGCAGTTGAACAGGCTGTTGTAAAACAAGCAGTGTTGAAGCAATGCCTAATTTGGTATAGATGCATTTAAACTATTATCTATAGTCTCTCCCACAAAACTAACCAGCTCCAGCAGGTGTCTCTGGTCACAACACAGAAAACCATAATGCCATGTACATATAATGATTTATCAGCTTCTTATCACTCTTTTGTTCCTTTTTAGTCCTTTATAGCTTTCTGTGTGTGAAAGCTAATATCATTCTAACATCATTATCGTATTGGATAGTTTTATTTCACTGAGAGGTAATATTTTACAGTTCTGAATGGCACCACTAAAATATATGGCAATTTCATATTCATACAGAGTAATTGTAGATCCATTAAAACATGGAAAATGTTACAGACATAATTAAAAAGTCATTTAAAGCAGTTGTTTCCCCTGATGTTTCATTAGGTTCTTAGTCTCTTGTTGTTGTTTTTGCTGTGAGGTATTGTGCTGGCGTGCTTGTGGCTGCTGTCATTTGAAGCATGAACCAGGCCATTTTCATCACTGGGTTCCTTGGGACCAAAAGGCAAAGAACAGATCATCTTGGTTGTTTGATTCCCTTTTGATTCTATGTTAAGTAGTTTATTACAAACTACCTGCAGGTAACAGGTACCTTACCTTACAGGTAACCTGCAAGTTTACCTTTCTCTTACTGTGTCCATTCTCAGAGATTACTGCCTCATGCATGTGAAGGCCCAAAGCCCTTTCTAAGTCTAAAACAAAAGAATAAAGCACAAATTACCATGAGGTGTGTGAACCAAAATTCATTAATCCAGGTTTTGTGTTACTAAAAGTACCTGTCAGAATTTGGTCAATCTTCTCCACGGCAAGTTCAGCATCTTCTCTAGTAAAGCACATAGGAGGCTTGAACTTCAGAACGTTGCGGTGTGGGCCATCAGCACTGAGCAGAATCCGCTGCTCTTTTAGTCTTTAAAAAAAAAAAATATATATATATATTTTTGAAGGTCCATTCTTATTCGACCCCTTTCTGTGCAGTTCTATATTTATATTATTTAATTATATTTGAAAAGTAGGGTAGGCAATGTTTTTCATAAATAGTTATTTTTATATTGGTTGAAACTCTCTTCACATCCTGATAGCAAGCAATAATAGAAGTGGTCTAAATATTAAAACGTACACTCTAAAAAATGCTGGGTTGTTTCTACCCAACTTTGGGTCAAATATGGACAAACTCAGCCGTTGGGTTAAATTTTTAAATTACATTTTTAACCCAACATTTGGGTTTGACCATATTTGACCCAAAATTGGGTTAAAACAACCGAGCATTTTTTAGAGTGTACATATCATCTGTGGAAGTCTCGGGACCAAAACATTTTTGTCTCATCATTGCATTCGGTCCGAATGCAATTATACGATGCCCTACCTGCCTGTCGATCTTTGTAGTTCCATACGCAAACATCACGTCATCAGATTCAGCGCGTTCTGAGGCTATGCAGAGTTGTAGACAGACAGTCACCGAGCACCACAAACAAACAGCAGCCATCTTTTACCATTTCTCCTGAACCAAAACAATGAGCTTATGCTGTCTTCATGCAATGTCCTAACTACCGTAATGAAGATATGGCGACCCGTGATATTCTACTCCAAACTGTTCATGGCCTCGGAATGATGCGTTTCTATGGCAACACTACCAACGCCGAAATGAATGCAGTAGTCATAGCTCTTTACGTTTTTTACGTTCATTATTATTGTTATGTTGTTTGAGACGTGGTAATTTAACGCTGTCTCTCGTAAAGCTTTACAGACTCTGCTCTGGCTGTGCGTGATCATGTGTTTTGAAGCAGGTGTGGCTTTGAAGGGAGAGTGGGATCTTATGCTTTAAAAGCTAGCTTGCTATTGCTAGCCTCTCTGAAATTGCCTACCCTACTATTAATGTGCCAAGTTATGTGGCTAGGCTATGCATCTTATGCATGGTATGCTCATAAACCTATTAAACTTTCAAAAATTCCTCTTTTAAATTCATGACTCATTCTCACCTGTAAATAACATCCTGAGCTTCAGCTGTGGCCGGTGTTCTCTTATCCCGGTTTCTTACCAGCTCCAAACCAACAAACAGGCCACGGCCCCTAAAAAAACAAAATGTTTGATCTGCAACTTTAAACTTCCTGGCAATGTGTGTTCCAGACATACTTCCGTCAGCATTATTACAAGTGTACCACCTTCACAAACAACCCCAGGGAAATGATTTACACAAGGCTTGCAACATAAAGAGGCCATGTAACTTCAATAATCTTATGCAAACATAGTCAAGGTTCCACCGTGACACATTATTACTCACACTTACACTGCAGAGTTTGTTGGTATTAAAGAAATGATGGCATTATGGATCTGATCGTGTCCATCAATTACTGATTTTATCATTTTTAGAAGTTAGGAGGGAGTTAACCAACCTCACGTCACCCACTAAGGGGTGTCTTTTCTTCAGATCATCCAAAAGCTGAGTCAGGTAACCTCCGACATGCAGGGCATTGCCTTGGAGATCTTCCTTCTCAATTACATCTAGCACCGCCAATCCAATAGCACATGATACTGGGTTACCGCCAAACTAGAGGACACCAAGACGAACATTTTTCAGCCTTTTGCTTTTTGTGTTTCATAAGAATTTTTGCTCTAGTCCCTATATCTGTTGCTCACACATCTGGGGCCTCATTTATAAAATGTTGCGTAGAAATCTTACAATAATTTCTCAAATTTGCGTATGCCTTTCTTCCAGATGTAAAATTTTTAAAATCGCAAATGATCTTGAAATTGTGCGCAGCTAAATGATTTCATATCTCTGCCTTGTAAACGCCGCCTAATTAATATCATTAACATATAAAAGAGCACCAGTCAACGTTCAAATCATTTACTTGAGAATGTCGAGCGGCAAGAATTGCTTAGATTTCCAAATACCTGCAGTAGCCAATTCCGGAAAAGTGCATACGTCTGATTATACCCTGACGTGGCCTTCAAAGACCGTTTTTATAAACATGAACGGTGGTGTGGATTTTAGCATACACACACTCTAAGTAAAATCTGTACGTACGCATATGTTATAAATGAGGGCCCTGTGAACAATGTAAATAGTTTTATTTTCAAATGTTGTTTCAGTCTTAATCTGTATTATTTCATGCCTGCCATTGTCAAAATAAGTTTTCTTTTTGTCCTCACTGTGTTGAAGTACTCCATTCCAGATGACATGAAGCTTTCAGCAACCTCTCTAGTGGTAATCACACATGACATTGGATGACCATTTCCAATAGGTTTGCCCATTGTAACAATATCTGGTACAAAATCTTCTCCCTGTAGCTGGAAGGCCCAAAAGTGGGTGCCCACCCTGCCAAAGCCCACCTGGACCTCATCAGCAATGAAAATGCCTCCTGCATTTCTCACATGCCTGTGGTAAAGCAAAAGTTGTGGTACACACAAATTGGAATGTATATGCATGCATATTTATATTCAGAAACATGTATTTCATATGATACATGCATTATAAGACAAATGCACACATGGATACAATGTGATTCATAAATGGGCACTGCATAAAACGGTATCATTTTATTAGCCCAAAATTTTAAAACTATATACTGTAATATTTTTGGTAATTAAAAAAGTAATTTAAAAACAAAAATGAAACCCTGCACCAGTCAAAATTTAAATTAATGTCAAATTTAGGTATTAAAACTTAAAATGAAACAAGCAAATTTAAAATGTGCTGAATTTACAGACACAATTGGCAGAACCTTTAAGTAAGCTTAGATAAGAGGAATGCAAATAGTTCTATATTAGCCTATACCCTATAAATTAAATGTGTCACTTTTTGGGTGAAGCAGAAGAGCTGCAATCATGTAACTAAACTGCTTCATTCAGAGCCAGTTAAGCACTTGATAGTACATACTGTGCCACTTTCTGGAAGTAGCCCACTGGAGGAATGACCTGCCCTCCGCAACTCTGCAGGGACTCAGCGATAAAAGCGGCAATCTACACAGGAAAAGATCACATGAGTCCCATATACCCTAGTAGAAATACGTCCTACTGATGGAAGCAAACTTTTTAAAAGCTGCTTGAGATGACTATAACAGCCACTGCCATGATCAGAGCTGAAGAAAGCACAGAAAATACACAAAGAAACTCAGGAGGAAACCGGGCACATACGAGGACTTCATGCCATTTTGACACAGTTGCCATGATGTTTGGCCAATTCATTCACTGATCCTCACAGATTCACGTCAGTTCTCACTTCAGAAATGGGACTGAGTAATGACCCCTTGTTTTCCTGCAACAGAAGGTTAAGGGGCTTTTTGAAGATGCACATGCATTTCTGCAAATCATTGAGCCTTTAGGCATCGAGGAGGCAAGAAAAATTCCCGTCTTTGCTCAACCTAGAGAGAAGGAAAACAGCAACAGGTGGAGAGCAGAGGGAATGTGGGGAGGGGAAAGGAAAGGATAAGGAGGAAATCAGTCATTGATGGAGAATTTAAAAGATCACAGGAAATCACTGACTGGAAAGATCATGTCAATGAATTTAAGGCAAGACACTAAAAGCAAAAAAAAGCAACAAAAAAAAATTCATGCACTGGTCAATTTTGAGATTTTTAGCTATTTGGCTTTTCATAACGTGTTGTTTCAGACTAGTGGAAAGGAAACATTCAAAATACACTGTAATACTGACACATTAAAATAAAGTGTAAATGTATTGAATGTATTGCTCTTATTGCATGTACTTTAAAGGCCGTTCCTCAAAATGAGTTGTTTCTCATGCACTAAGCATGAAATCTCTACTTCAAAACTATTTACATGTACCAAACTTTACAGTTTTATTCCTATCTATAGTCTGAAGGAGTTTGCTCAGAGGAGTTTGCTCATTTATTATTTGCCTGGTTTTATACAACATTTTATTCCCAAAAACATGGTGATTTTTTTCTGGCTGTTCTGATTTATGGAGTGTTAAAAATAAATATCCAAAATCTCCTCGATTATCTCCTCGAAAAACTATTGACTCTAATATGTCAGCCAAATGAAACAATTTTGAGCTTTATCCAATGTTCAGATTTATGTTCTGGAAATGTGTGCAAATTAGTGAATTTAATTAAATAAGGCCTAATTTGCATATTTAAACATAACATTTCAGAAGACAAATAAAGTTTGCAATACTTAATGTAATCAGATAACTGTGGAGGTATGGTGGTATATAAGAGTTATCTTTTTTAATAAGCAGGGTCTTGCCTTAAGACAGAGAGATGTCAATCAATAAAGTAATCCACACAATTATCACTGTAAATTATAAATTGTAATTAAAAAAGTAAGGTATGCAGTAATGGAATAAAGTTTAAAGGTCCAGTCAGTAAATAATTCTGATGTCTGTGGATGTTAAATGACTTTGATGGACATTCACTCACCTTATGTCCCTTTTCATGGGCCTGTTCGATTACGTCTTTGACATTTTCAGCATAGGCAGTGGCAGGGTCTGGGTGGTCCTCACGGTATTTGCCTCTATAAATGTCTGGACTGAGAGCCTAAGAAATTATCACATTTATGAATAGTAAGTCAAAGTTTACAGTGCAGAAATAAATCTCTTCACTGGGCTGGCAATTTTAAATACAAGTTTAAATTTAATTGCAAAACAAATATGAAAAAGACCTGTGCCAATCTGTATATTAAATGTATTTTCTGGGTTTACATGACATGAAACACAAAAGTAAGAATCCCCACACCAGGTAAAATAAAAGAGAGAAAAATATTTTTACAGAAAATACCATATGAAGTAACAACAAAAAACAAACGTGCACTAAAAAAAAAAAAAAAAAAACCTTTCAGCCTATTTTGGACTATCTTCATTGCTTAAAGGGATAGTTCACTTTGAAATTCATTTTTGGTATGTTTTAGCTTACCTCAAGGGCATCCAAGATGTAGGTGTCTTTGTTTCCGCAGTAGTTTCAATTTTTAAAGGTAAAAACGATATAAATACTGTTAGTTTTCTCACACAAACTTAGGCCATCAATGTGTACTTACATTTACGAGTCATTAAATCATGTTTAATGATTCTTGACAGACAAGAACGGTTTGACCTAAAAATATCAAAATTTAAACTACTGCGGAAACAAAGACACCTACATCTTGGATGCCCTTGAGGTAAGCTAAAACATACCAACAATTAATTCCAAAGTGAACTATCCCTTTAAATCTTTACAACTTAAATCAACTGCATTTATACATTGTTCAAGGCACTAATTGCAGGCACCAAATAATTAACACAATTGGTAGAATGCTGGTTAATTGATTATACATTGAATGGATAATCAATGTAAATCCCACACACATGGCTGGAGTAATCATTCACACATGCTCCAGCATCAAACAACAGAGGGGTGGGAAAGACTTCAAGCTAGAAAGATTTAGAGTCTCGTTAAGTCCAAAAGGTTGTTCAGTTTTAACCGACTTTCACACTGTAGTACACTTTGTTCATTGTTAGAATATCTGTGGGATACATTAACAATGACACAAACAGATAGAACATGGACAGGGTGATTTTCTTACTTGAAATGTCTAGCAACTGGAGATTAAAATCACCCCTACACAAAGAACTACAAATGTTCATTAATACGAGTATTAAGTTGTCTATTTGGTTTGCCAATGTACTGTAAACCATATGGACAAGTCGAAAGATAAACAACATTTGTGGATCTACAGGTTATGAAGCAAGTTATTCTATATTGTGTTTTTTTTTTTAGCAAAACTGACAAAGGTATTAACCTAGAATTTTGACAAGAATAACAATGTCTATAAGGAAAAAAACTTAGAACCTTCAAGAGTTTGTAAGGCCTGCTCAATCGGTCCAACGACAGTTTCCGATAAGCGGGTGAAGGTTTACTGCGTGTTACTGTCTTTTCAGTGTGGCAAAGTAATTTAATTCCAACTTTTATCTGACTCCATGTTATCACGACCTCGAATCTAGGTTGGAATGCCAATCATTGGTCATTTATATAATAGTTTAGCTACACATTTGATTATTCTATTTAACTCTCTAATTTATATTTTACCCATTCATTAGGAATCCATGTTGCTTTGAGGTCCTCTCATGATCACAAACTCGTCAGTTTTTGGTCACTAAACAGAGGTAATTGACTAATACCGTAGATGGTCGCATTCACGCTTACTCTAAGATACTTTGTATGTCCCCATAGATCTGTATACTTGAATTAAAATAACAATATCTCTAGTCAGAGGTCATGACCACTACTGCAGATATAAGCCGACCAAAATTACTTCTCTGATAGTAGCTTTGGTTTGGTCATGCCATGGTTTCCCACGTACACTTAGCTAGAGTAACATTACATTAAACAGAGGTAAGACTCACCCTATTTAGGTTGGTCAAGCAACATTTTGCTGTCATAAACGGAAATTCACTTTTAGTCTTACAGTCTAAGTACACTTATTAGCTTTTGGTTTACTTGTGTGGGGATGAGACCATTGTACCAGTCGCACTGAGACATTTCAAATGATACCAAACATGTATTGTGTTCTATGATAATTGTTCATATTAAACCATATAACCCCGGCATCCTGGCCAAATTTGCCCATTGGCCTCTTTCTATCATGGTATCCGAATCATCCCCATATATATATACACTCACCGGCCACTTTATTAGGTACCCCATGCTAGTAACGGGTTGGACCCCCTTTTGCCTTCAGAACTGCCTCAATTTTTCGTGGCATAGATTCAACAAGGTGCTGGAAGCATTCCTCAGGGAGTTTGGTCCATATTGACATGATGGCATCACACAGTTGCCGCAGATTTGTCGGCTGCACATCCATGATGCGAATCTCCCGTTCCACCACATCCCAAAGATGCTCTATTGGGTTGAGATCTGGTGACTGTGGAGGCCATTTTAGTACAGTGAACTCATTGTCATGTTCAAGAAACCAATTTGAAATGATTAGAGCTTTGTGACATGGTGGAAGTAGCCATCAGAGGATGGGTACATGGTGGCCATAAAGGGATGGACATGGTCAGAAACAATGCTCAGGTAGGCCGTGGCATTTAAACGATGCCCAATTGGCACTAAGGGGCCTAAAGTGTGCCAGGAAAACATCCCCCACACCATTACACCACCACCACCAGCCTGCACAGTGGTAACAAGGCATGATGGTTCCATGTTCTCATTCTGTTTACGCCAAATTCTGACTCTAACATCTGAATGTCTCAACAGAAATCGAGACTCATCAGACCAGGCAACATTTTTCCAGTCTTCAACTGTTCAATTTTGGTGAGCTCTTGCAAATTGTAGCCTCTTTTTCCTATTTGTAGTGGAGATGAGTGGTACCCGGTGGAGTCTTCTGCTGTTGTAGCCCATCCGCCTCAAGGTTGTGCGTGTTGTGGCTTCACAAATGCTTTGCTGCATACCTCGGTTGTAACGAGTGGTTATTTCAGTCACTGTTGCCCTTCTATCAGCTCGAACCAGTCTGGCCATTCTCCTCTGACCTCTGGCATCAACAAGGCATTTCCGCCCACAGAACTGCCGCTCACTGGATGTTTTTTCTTTTTCGGACCATTCTCTGTAAACCCTAGAGATGGTTGTGCGTGAAAATCCCAGTAGATTAGCAGTTTCTGAAATACTCAGACCAGCCCTTCTGGCACCAACAATCATGCCACGTTCAAAGTCACTCAAATCAACTTTCTTCCCCATACTGATGCTCGGTTTGAACTGCAGGAGATTGTCTTGACCATGTCTACATGCCTAAATGCACTGAGTTGCCGCCATGTGATTGGCTGCTTAGAAATTAAGTGTTAACGAGCAGTTGGACAGGTGTACCTAATAAAGTGGCCGGTGAGTGTATATTGGCTTCATCACACTGTCTCCTCTCCACTAATAAGCTGGTGTGTGGTGGGCGTTCTGGCACAATATGGCTGCCGTCGCATCATCCAGGTGGATGCTGCACATTGGTGGTGGTGAGGAGATTCAGCCTTCCATAAGTAAAGCGCTTTGAGTACCCAGAAAAGCGCTATATAAATGTGACGAATTATTATTATTATTATTATATAGAATTTTGGGTGAATTTCAGGTTATCCCAGCATGAGGAGAGAAGGGATGGATGATGAGGAGACTGTAAGGGTGAGGTGTGAACTGCTCGGTGTGGTGCGTCTCAGATGGTGTTGCTACTTATGCAAGAGAGTGTTCAAATGTTAATTCTCAGGAGAGTCTGTTGTTTTCTCGAGGAGTAGTCGTTTCCAAGTCCAGACTTTCTGGCATCTGCCTTACAGTTCTTCCAGGCTTACAAGTCTTAACCTGTCCCTCCGTAATTGCACCACAGCCAGTATGGACACTGTCTCTAATGGTTAGTCAACAGTGACTAGTGAACAAAAACAAGTAAACCAGTAAAAAAATTCTTACCAGCATTGAATGACTACTCCTTGAAACTCTCCTTTGACCCTTCAGTGAAGAGAGTTTCAAGGAGTAGTCATTTTTACCATATCACATGTTCTATTACACGCAGCCCCATTTGTGCTGAAATAAAGTACTTTTTTTTTTTAAATTGCATGTGTAATCACAGTTGATAGTGCTGGTAAGAATTTATTTACTGATTTAACTATTTTTGTTCATTCTAGAGGACGAACCATTAAATACTGTTTTGTCCATGCAGACTGTGGTGCAACTTTTGTTGTTTGTTGCTGGAGCATGTGTGAAGGATTACTCCATGTGTGTGGGATTTACATCGATTATCCATTCATTGTATAATCAATTAACCAGCATTTTACCAATTGTGGTAATTATTTGTGTCAATTAGTGCCTTGAACAATGTATAATTCCAGTTGATTTATGTTGTAAAGATTTAAGCACGGAAGATATTCCAAAATGGACTGAAACGTTTGTTTTTTCTTTTGGTGCTCAGTCACTTTTTAGTTAGTGCACTTTTGTGTTTTGTTGTCACTTCATACGAGAATCTTCAGTAAAACATTTTCCTCAAAGGATCTTGGACTTTGAATTTGTTTGGTGAGCAGATTCCTTGTTTTCTTTTTAAATTGAATTGCAAACATAATGTCCTTTTTTGTTTGTTTTCCAAAACAGTCCCCCATTTCTATTTGTCTATCAAAAAGGCAGCCCTGCCTAAAACTTATGCCATTGGTTGAGCCAATGTTACTATGTCAGACTAAATGCTCTAACACAGAGCAATGCATTGATAGCGCCAAAGTGTTTACACTTCTGCCTAAAAGCTTACTATTTCTAATCATATTAAGTTAGGATAAGATAAAGATTTTCACACTGAAAATATGACACATCAACTTCATTATGTTTTTTTTCTCCAGTATCAACTATAAACGTAATATCAATATTTATATCTAACAAATAATTTTCTCACTGTGAACACAAAAAAAAAAAAAGTTGTACTCTGTATCAAATTCACAATTAAGGTATAGTGTAAGGACAGGGCAGTAAGATTAACCTGATCTTAATCCTTTCTACAACATGCTGGCTATAAACAAAATAATGTTATGGGTTGTCTTATCACTATTTGTAGAAAGGTAGGCAATGCCATAGCAAGGACTACATTCAAGTCACAAGCCCCCTGGATTTACTGTACTCCACTTTAAGCATGCAGCATAATGTCAACATTAGAGGCCTGAAAAGAAAGACGAAGCGTCTAAAGAGACTTTCCATAAAAAATACATGCTGTTGTTACGTATCCTGATGTGACTCCCTAGCATGTAACATGATACTGACTGATCACCACGGTCAAGAGTTCTTTATAATAAGGTGATGACTGAGAGGCTAGTTCACACACACATACCACACAATCATCCATCGCAATTTGGCAGATATTTGTGTATGTTGAAAATATCTGATATTTTAAGACATTTATTGAACTTGACACACAGTCATGAGGGTCTACTGGGGGCCGCTCTATGATGCCATTTCCTATTTTATGTTTTTGTTCTGGGTGTAGTTTGCACCACGTTACTTTGTTAGTCACACCATATTAATCTTATTTGGTGGACAAGAGTTTTTCACATATTAATAAACAGAGACAATATTTGTCTAAGGAAAAATGATAAAGGATTATGCCAAACTATGTTCACCAAAAAAAAAAGAATTTAGAAATACATACTCATCTTATAAGAAGTGTATTCAAGTAATTGTATGTATGAATTGAATATTTAATGCAAATTATTATATCCCAAAAACATGAGTAGTGTGTATATATATATGTAAATGTATTAGAAAAATAGAGAGAGACATTAGAAGTTTGGCTGCACATTATTAGTTTGGCCTTCTCTGAATTTTTTTGACTTCAAGAATAGTGTCTGAGCACTATGTGCATGTGACCTGATGTCAAATCCAATATGTCAAACGTCTCATGTTGCAACACTCACCACATGCACATGCTGGCTCGTCTCTGCACCAGTCATCTGATGAAACTTATATGGACTGATATCAATGAGCGATGACACATGACCATGGTAGGCACTGCAGGAGAAACACACTGAATGAAAAACTCACAAGAATCAACATAACAAAGTTCCACAATGTTTGAGAGGGCTTGAGTTATCTTATCTTTTAATGATTATTTTGCTTATGTGAGTGAAAAGTGGCCCAGAAACAAACCAACGCAGCAAAAAATCACATCTTATATTTCTGAATGGATATGGCCTTCTTTCAAATAAACCTGAAGACGAGGTGATGCTTTCTTTTTGCACAGCATTGGTTTTGAAAACAAAGGCAGATGATGACTATGTATATCCATAGGCAAAACAATGTGAATGTTCTCTACAGTATGTCCAGATACAAGACTTAAGATAAAGTTAATATTTAAACTATGAGCTTCACGCTTCTAAGAACTTGGTTACTGTTTAGATCCCAGTGCAGAGGAAGAGGAGACTCGGCCAGTGTGCTGTTGACTTACTTCTCCAGTGTGATGATGTCTTTGCTGCCGGTATACTGCCAGGCCAACCTCAGGGCCAGATCATTTGCCTCGGACCTATATGTCAAAACAGAAAAGTTGATTATGGGTTTGAGCCTCCATGCACCATACTGACTTTATTATCAAGCTGCTGCCTTCAACACTGAAAACAAAAATTGCTACCAAGCCATCCAACATAAAAGCTGTCTAACCACCAATCAGTGATTACAACATCTACCATGGTGTGTAATTTTAAAAAGCCATGAATGTAGCAATTTGCTAGAATACTTTTGCTTAAGTGCAGATGAAACTCGGTAAATGCTGCTGCGTGATGTAATGATGAAACTTTCTCACCAGCAGAAAACTGTATGTTTGATAACCTGTAGTTAGAGCCCTCCCCACACCTTAAACCTCAGTCATTACAAAACTTTCACCCACAGTACTCTGTGTACACTCCTGATTACACCATTGGTGATTGGCTCTCAGTGTTAGTGGTTAATATGCAAATGATCCACTGGCTAGGTGTGAAGATTTGTGCTCTCATAACAATTTTCTAAGCATGTGTAAGTATTATTAAAGACTTGTCTGTAAAACCTGTTTTAAACTGGGAGTGTTTTGAAGCAAGCAGAAAACTCAATGTGCATATACACTGTACGGTAAACTCTGAGAACAGACTGTCTGAGCTCACAGACCTACCCTGAGTTGACAAAGTAGCACACAGAGAGCTTTTCAGGAAGGGTGGCTTGGAGACGCTGAGCATACAAGACCAGATTGTCATGTAGGAAGCGAGAGTTGGTGTTGAGAAGCTCCATTTGCTTTGTTCCTGCCTCAACCACATCTGGGTGGCAATGACCCACTGGAGAACAACACAGAAACATCAGCTGAATAATTACTACAGGGATGAATGTATTAGAACAGATAATTGCACTCAGAAAGATGTATTCGTAATAATGGTACCGTATTAAATCAGATCATTTAAAATATGAGTGAGCCCTTAAAAAAATAAGTATACTTCAAGTACATTTTATTAAGTGTACTTTAACAAAGTTCAAGTATATTTTTAGGATACTTTATGTAGTAAGTATAATAATATTAATGTACTAGTAGTATACTTGTAAGTGTACTATTTCAATACTACTTTTTAGTGTTAAAAGTACACTTTTAAATATACTTTAAGTGTGATAGTAGTACACTACATTACATAACTACGTTTTTCGCGTGTACTGCAATTATACAAGTGAACTTGTTGGTATACTGATAGTTTACTAGTTAAATGCTTAAAACTTATTATTTAGTTTATGAAAGTACACTTTGAAGTATACTCTCTGTAAACTGCCAGTTTAGTAGTTGCAAGTATGCTTGTAAGTTCTCTTTAAGTGAACTTACATCATACTTATAGTTTACTGTTTATATATTATTTTTGCACTTTGTACCCCAAAGCTGACTTGTTACTATATAAACTTGAACATGTAAGTTTATAAGAGAATGTAAATCTATGTGGAATACCCCGTATTGGTAACACTTTATAATAACTGCACGCTATTAATCATTAGCTAAGCATTAATAAACAGTTGATTCATCATTTATAAAGTATTAATAGACATTAATAAGCAGCTTATAAATACAGCTATAAATGCTTAATTCTTGATTTATAAGCATATCTATAATGTGTTTAATAATTGTATTTTCATACTTTATTAATGATCAATTTATCATTTCTAAATGAAGTATTGCATTATTTACAAACCAGTTATTTAGGAGTTGTCAGTGGTTCATAAGATCACTTAGAAAGTGTAAGTAAATGATTAATAAACTATTTAAATGTACAATCATACATCTAGAAATAGAACTCATATTATTAGAAATGTCTATATCATACTAATATTAACACAAGTAACTATTACTATATTTTTTAACACACAAAGTAACTATTACTATATGTAAATGGTAAATGGTAAATGGACTGCATTTATATAGCGCTTTCACAGACCCAATGGCCACCAAAGCGCTTTACATTTGCCTCACATTCACCCATTCACACACTCATTCATACACCGACGGGCGATTTGTCTTAATTATGTCTTAATAATAAGATGTATGAATGTACATTTAAATAGTTTATTTATCATTTACTTACACTTTCTAAGTGATCTTATGAACCACTGACAACTCCTAAATAATTGGTTGTAAATATTGCAATACTTCATTTATAAATGATAAATGATCATTAATAAAGTATGAAAATGCAATTATTAAACATATATTAGATATGCTTATAAATCAAGAATAAAGCATTTATAGCTGTATTTATAAACTGCTTATTAATGTCTATTAATGCTTTTTAAATGATGAATTAACTGTTTACTAATTCTTAACTAATGATTAATAGCGTGCAGTTATTATAAAGTGTTACCATACTTGGAATACTTCATTATATCTTGATCAAAAGATTGAGTACAAGTACTCTGTAAAAAAACTTAACTCATTATTTTGTGTTATCTTTTTGCATGGGTTTTTTTTAGTTTAACTAACTTATTTCGATAAGTTGAGGACAAGAAAACTTAAAATTTCTTGTTGTCTGGACAATCTAGTTATCTCTACACAAAAAAATAAGTTGAAATAACTAAATTGCTAAAATATTTTTTACAGTGTATAGGCCAAATATACTTAGACTTTTCTGTCAGTATGTGAAGTATACAAATACTAAGTAATTGTAAGTATATTTCTGAGAAGTTCAAGAAGTTCATAAATAGTAGACTGAAAGTATACTTTCTTATTTTTAGTTTAAAAGAAGTATAAGTTACAGAGTCACACTTGACTGAACTTTTTTGTAAGGGAGATTAAGTTTTGAATCAGGACATCAGCTTTGTTTCAATGGCTCTGAAAATGCATGTTGATTAGAGTGAAATAAATGATAAAGATAAATAAAACATTTTTCTTTTAATTTATCTTCAGACAATGTCTTGCATGCATGCAAAGTCATGCATGGGAATCTTTATTCCATCATCAAAGCAGCAATGACACTGAAAAAACGCTCACTCAAATAACGGCAAGGGTACTTGAGTTAATGCTTCATTTTGGTAATCAAATATTATATCGGGAAATTGGTACTTTACTCAAGTTAGTATTGAAACATAAAATTTTAACTTCTACATTTCAAAAGAAACAAAATGGCACTCTTTCTCTCAATTTCACTTACAATTTAATTTAGACACTATAAGTACAAGTACATATTTAGCAGATCATGATTTATTCTGAATGAAATACAAGTTCTAACATCAGCATCGGTGGCCTAATGTCGATTACAGGACAAAATTTCCAATATTGTCTGTAAAACAAAATGCAAAAATGTTCTAAATGTGCAAAATGTTCTTTATGACGCATAGGGCTCTCTAAATGTAGGAATTCCAGTTATGTAATTACCGTGGGGCGAGTTTGTCAGCCTTGCTTTATCAAAAGTTACCGTGTTTATGTTGTTTTGTAGTTTTTGTTGTCTGTTTGTTTTTGACAGCAGTTAAAGTTCACAGGCATTCCTAATTAACATGTCAAGCTGTTTAATATACAAATTACAATTACATTTGAAACTTTTACTGTGAACTGCTTTCATTTGAAGCATGAGATACAGGGGGAGTGTGGCTTTATAGCACCAGATATATGTCACTTTGCTCCCAGCTGATTTGTCCAGGTTTATCTCTAACCCAGAATAAATTCTGCTCAAGAGCAGGGGTGCGTTTCCCGAAAGCATCGTTAGCCAACTATGGTCGCAAGTTCCGTCGTTACCAATAGAGTTCAATGGGATTTGCGACCAACTTGCGACCATAGTTGGCTAACGATGCTTTCGGGAAACGCACCCCAGGTTAGCCCTGTAGCATAAGTTACCATGGCGATGAACGCCAAAAAAAAAAAAAAAAGAAAAACCAGAGTTTGCTCAAACTAATCTCAAACTTACCCTGTAGCAACTGAACCCGCCTTTGCAACATTTTGTAAGGGTGCATCTGACCCCTTTTTTCAGCTACTGTTTTCCTATAACCCTCTATAAGCTCTAATAAACTCTAATAAGAGTTTGTGTTGGTTCTATTTCCACTTATATCAAATTTGTGTTTTAAATAATGATAAATGAAATACAAAGGGTCTATGATGTCAAAAGATATCCACAATTTATTGAGATGGTAGTATATCTCAAAACTGGTGGACAATGTTTCTACCAGAGCAATCATGTATGCTCTTTTAGTACCATGTTAAATGTAAGAGGTTTTCCGATATTGGCTTCAGGTTTTACAATATTTGTTTCTGGAGCCTTACATAGTCAAGACATTGAGAAAATTGAAAATAATCAAGCTGCTTTAAAGACTGCATGAAACTTCACATCTCCGTATTCCATCTGTTAATTTTTTAAAATAATCAAAAGATTTACTTTTTTTTAATGCTAGCAGTACAATTAAATATGGTTATATATGTACTTGTTTTCTTTTGCTAGAGTAAATGTCTGGTAAGGTGCTTTGACTTTTAAATGAGCAAAACTTCAAATACAGCTGCCCTTTCACAACCCCGATTAACTGTCAGTCAATATCTTACATAGGAATTTGCCTGTAGGTACAATAAGGTTTTGAGAAATTTTGAAGTTGCTCTGTTTAGGGATCTTTTAAACATTTACATTTTTTAAAAGTTACTTTGCTTCAGGTCCACAGTTCACAAGTGTTTGATTCAATCCCCGGTGCATCATTTCTATTCTACAGAGAGTCTTTTGTAGATCAGATTTTATGTTTAGACTACAGTTTTATGGGTAACGCTTCCTTTTACAGTCCTGTTACCCATGTACTTACTATGTACTTATTAAAGTAATTATAATTACTGGGTAATAACTAGGTACTAACCCTGAACCTACCCCTAACCCATGTACTTACCTTATATTAGCCAGTACTTTCTAGGTAAGTACACTGTAAGTACACGTAAGTACTGTACTGTAAAAGGAAGCGTTACCGTTTTATGTTGATGTGTACAAAATCAAATTAACTACAACCGCAATTTCCCTTTACAATTGCATACCATGTGCTACGTTGTTTATGCAATCCAGGTATTTCTCATCTTTTTCGTTGTACATGTACTGGCCCCTTGCTCGCACAATCTTGATAGGGTCATGACTGAAGAACACTTTGCAGGATGGACTATATGGGAAAAGACAGAAATAAAAGACTTGTATCGACTGGCGCATTAATCAAGAAGTTAAAGAATTTAAGCCAAAAAGCATTTGAATTATTAGCGTGCTTTTTGTCTTGAGACGTATTCTGTGAAATAATGATTTCTGATGAAACATAAAACTTATCAAATCCTCTTTTTATCATGGCAGGTACCGGTATAGACTTGATCCAGCCTTAAACGTGCAGTTATGAAACCAAGTTTCCTTACTTTCCATGCACTGCATAGCCTATCTCAAACTCATCTCATATGTCTTCTGATATTGCTGTTTTATTTCTTAGTGAAGAAAACGACATCCTCTGTGTCATACAAGTATAGTGTATACCTTTAGGGTCATAGGCTAATAATTTAGGTACGCAAACATGTCAAAATCGGCACAAAACAGGTCACTGGTGTCATATTACCTCTGATAGACATTAGTTCGTGCGTTATAACTGCAGTAGCCTAATATCTCCTTCCTTACCCTACATGTTTCCGTCTGAGATCGATAGTCTTCTGCTTATCGAAAGTTGTCGTTGCCATTTCTGTGCTTGTAGGAGCTCACAAACTCGTGTGACTGCTGCTGGAGGTAGAATGAGTACAGCACTGTCAACTCCATTGATGTAGCCTACGTGTGTGTGTGTGTGTGTGTGTGTGTGAGAGAGAGAGAGAGAGAGAGAGAGAGAGAGAGAGAGAGAGAGAGAGAGAGAGAGAGAGAGAGAGAGAGAGAGAGAGAGAGAGAGAGAGAGAGAGAGAGAGGGGAGGGGATGGGAGGAGGTGATCGACAGACCCATCGCGTATCAGTTCAATCACTATTGCAAAGTGGACCGTTCGCTCCAATCTAAATGTAGATTAAGTGGTCAAACACTTGGAGAAAAGATATTTTATTTGGCTCCAACAGAATATCACATAATATGAGTTGGAAATGAAGTGCCCTGAGCCATGGACACGCACAACACAATCTTGTAGCAAATAGCCAACACTTTAAATGGTACAACAACAATTAATAGCAAACATAGCCTATAAGAATTGAGAAATGGGAGACACGAGAAAGATTTTTGTTATTTTGGAATACACTAGACTACTGTTCAAAAGTTTTAGATCGGTTTATTAAGGTTTTTAAAATAAGTAACTTCTGCTCACCAAGGCTGCATTCATTTGATCCAAAATACAGCAGAAACAGTAATATTGTGAAATATATTTACAATTTAAATAACTGTTTTCTAAACTCTAGTTTTGTAACATTATACACTATCGTTCAAAAGTTTGGGGTCAGTAGGAATTGTTTTTTGGGAAGAAATGAAAGACAGTATTACTTTTATTCAGTAAGGATGTATTGAATTGATCAAATGTGACAGTAAAGATAATGTTACAAAAGCTTTATTTCAGATAAATGCTGTTCTTTCGAACATAAAAGAATCCTGAAAAAAAAAATTACACAACTGTTTTCAACATTGATAATAATAAGAAATGTTTCTTGAGGGGCAAATCACAATATTAGAATGATTTCTGAAGGATCATGTGACACTGAAGACGAGTAATTATGCTGGAAATTCAGCTTTGCCATCACAGGAATAGATGACATTTAAAAAAAAATATTCAAATAGAAAACAGTTATTCTAAATTGTAAAACAAATTCACAACATTACTGTTTTTGCTGTATTTTGGATCAAATAATTGCAGCCTTGGTGAGCAGATGTGACTTCTTTTAAAAACATTAAAACAAATCTTACAGATGTAAAGTATATATGTATATATATATATATATATATATATATATATATATGTGTGTGTGTGTGTGTGTGTGTGTAGCCACAATATCTACTGTAGACATTTGGGGGAGGGGGACATTTGTAACTTTGTAGATGTTTTGCTTAATTATTATTCTATAAAAGTAGTTAAAAAGCAATCAGAGTACATGGTAAATCAAAAAAGCAGTTTAAACATTGAACAAACATATATCAACATTAGAAAATCATAAATTGTCATAACTTACAAAGATTAGGAAAATAATGGAATTTTCTGTAATAAACCTATCTTGGTGGGAAAAAAGAAAGGAGAAAACAAAACAAGGAAATGTTTTCAGAATTGCACCACTGAAAGTTGACCGAATGAACAAACATTAGTTTAAAAGTCATATATATGGCTCCCATGCCTTCTATACAAACAAAAAACTCATAAAGAAAGATTTTGTGACATTATAGTAACAATAAATGGACACAAATGAAATGTTTATGAAAATGTGACTGGTATGCATGCACATTAACAGTGACGCTTATCAGTCTGAAAACAAATATTTGAAAAAAATCCAGCTTAGCATTACTGTTTTCAGTCTTGTTTGCAACTGTATTCTGTACTGTTAAAATAAAACAAATTCCCAGTGCCAACATGAAAGTGATTAAAATATATTCTTATTGTGGCTGAGTAAATGACATCAAAATGCATTTGTGTAAGGTGTACATTACATCAGTGCATAAAAAAGAAATATAAATTGCACTTTAATCAAAGGAAACGTATTTAACTGCACATTTATATCCCACTATACATATATTAATCTAAACTTAATGCAACAACAGATGGAGAGAAAGAACGGAAAAGAGAAAAAAGAATTTCAGACTCATTCCTTTCCAGTCAATATTTCATCAAAATCGTGTCATTAGAACTGATGTTCAGTGATATATTTAACCCTCCTTCGTGGTCAAAAGTGACCGAAGACTCGATAATATTGTTCAATAATATTTGTTATTTACTATTTATTTGTAATTTATTATTTAGAATTTTAAGGGGATTTTACGATACTATGCTATATGTATAAAAAATGTATGAGCTATTTTTTTTCCAATTGAAAATAATACACTATTTTTTTCTAATATATTTTCTCTATTATTTTTCAATTAAAGCAGTATTCCAGGTTAAAATAGAGACAATGCGTTTAAAATCCAATTTTTGAAGGTAGATTAGTATCTGATGGGAGTAAAAAAAGAAAAAGGCTTATAAAGTCTTTAGTCGTTTTTTAGACATAAAACCTTTTTTTGTATTAAGTTGTGGATTTGGATTTATACTTAGACATTCTCAAAGACTACTTTTTGACAAGGTTTAGATTTTTTTGGTTGAAATGTTGATTTGAAGTGTCAGTTTTTGCAAAAAGAGGAGGACATTTTGTTACACATAACATCAAAATTCAATTTGACAAAAATTTAACAAAAATGAACAGGTATGCTTCATTACAGCTTAATCAATCTGGGTCTGATCTGATTTCAACCTCTTATTTGAGTCTTTTATCTCAATTTTACCACACTATTACAGCCACACCAGTTAATTTGTGTGTGTACAATAGTGTGTTGTGTGTATATGTCTCTGCCTGTGTGAAAGTGAGTGTGTGTTTGAGTGGGTTTCTGGGTATTCTTGTGTTACCTCTCTTCCTTGCTGTTATTATTATTATTTTTTTACTGCATTACGATTTTATTTCACACATTTGCAAAAACTTGCTGTGTTATAGTCGTGATGGTTCATATATGTGTGGGGGGAGGAGGGGTGTCTATTTTGCACTCTTGATATTTATACTGTCACCCCTTCATTGCTGTGCACTTTTTATTGCACAATGGCTGATTTGTAGATTGTACCACCAAATGATTCTCTAAGTTTTCGTATTTTTTTCATTCATTTCTTATGTCGGTAATTTTTGACCACGAAGGAGCCAAGTGTGATTTTTTTCCCCGACCCTTTAACATATCCGAATCATGTCCATGATTTTTTTTGTGTGTGTGTTCACATAGTTAATGCGACAAAAGTCACCAAGCGTCATCCCATTCCGATAAGGCAAAAAATAAATACATTTCAAAACGTAAAATTATTCTGTAATTTCTGACCGAAGAGTCCTATGAACTTTTTGGGTTGAAAAAAAGAATAAAAACAAACAACATCTATTATAATCATCACACTGTCTGCAACTGCATCTGAGCATGAACAGAAGTAAAACATTTTATGGTGAAAGGTATTTCAAATTTCATATTATCAGGAATACCTTTTGCATGATGCAGTAATTAAAAGTAAAAAGAAAAGAAACAGCCAAGAAAGAAATGATCTCATTAAATGATCAAATAATCATTAAATTCAGTATATACAAAACTAATTTCAGTAAAACATTTCTGCATTGTTGTTATCATAATATTAAATGCCCACCAGAGGTTGAGAGAGACCATAATCCTGCAACCTCCAGACTGAAAACCCATTGTAACGCCAGCAGTGCTGTGATCAGGCATGTTTTAATGTATCGATTGTGGCTGAAGCCTCATTAAAAAGTTCAAAGTAATAGTCAAAATGGTTTTAAAGCTGTAAAAATAAATGAACTCTGGAATGTAGCGGTGCTTGCTGATTATAGGCTATAAAATGATAATCACTGCTGACTAAGGAATAAAGCTCTTGAATGATTGCTGTATGTTTGCACCTTGTACTGTACATTAACACTGTATTTGATTATGGTGACTAATACTGATTGATTTAGAATGTTTTTGTCATGGTTACTCAGAATATCAGTGCCACAAAACCACACTATGTCCCAACTTTCACTTTAAGAAAGTCTTAAACAATGTAACACTTTTAGCTCCAACAATACATGAATAGCATTTATGAGCCTTTATAGCTGCAAAAGAATACACTGAAATGTTATATCTACAACTCAAAGAGTAGACAAGAAATAACCATTTCCAACAAAGGAATGAATGAAAAATTACTTCATGCACAAAGACTATAGTCTTTGTTATAACATACAAAATGAACAAATCAAACAATGAGCAAAAGGTCATAATTAAAGAGACACCATCCTGCTTTTCTCAGACCGTGTAGCTCACTGCTACGAAAAGAACCCCACTGAAAAGTGAACAAAGATGGCTTTGCTCGTGGAGGGATGAACGTAGCAACTTCCCATGCATCACATACAACATTTCTGAGTTGTTACTCAGATGCATCTTTTGTCCTGCTCTTTCGATAATTCAAATGTGTAAGTTGTCACTCTCGCTACAAGGCAGGGCAACGTCGCGGCGCAGGAGGGCCAGATGCCACACTGAGCTCTTTGCAATAAAGAAATCCATCAATCCTGCTTTTCTGATTTTCTCAAGCCACCAGCCAAGGAGTGACACCCTTTATAAGGTGAAAACAAAAGAAAAATGAACCCCCTCTAGAGAAACACATCTTTTTGATTCGAGCTGAAAGACACGCAGTTAATGATTTGTAGAAGCCATACAATTTGACCACACCACAAAGTGATATGTATACATACTTCAAGTTGGCATCATGCTTGGTTTGGGGTGTATGGATAGAGTCTTTAGTCATTTAAGCTGGTAGTATGGATGGTGTGGAGATAAAATGGCAAACACACCAAGATCTTGTTTAAGAGCCAAAGCCAATCCCTTAGTCGCTTCCTCCTCCTCCCTTTCGGTTTACCCTGTTAGTCTCTTTTGGTATCCACTCTCATTCTGGGCCATGCAAAGCCGGGCAAACACGCCCTTGTGAATAAGAGTTTCTTGCTGGTCAAGTCTCTAAATTCCACAGTGCTGATGTGAATATAACAAACATTGCCATGAGCACACGGAAGTGACAGGAGCAGCTACGTGTGAGCTTAATGACTTGCTTTTTTTTTTATGTATACACATACATCCACTTTCCTTTATATATTTTTTTCACTTAATCGTTTCGGGAATTTAAAAAAATGTATAAATACAAAAAAGTGAAGCTTTATTTACAAACTCCATGCGTTTTGTGTTAGACTGATCACTGTAAAGAAAACACAAAGATGTGAATGTTTTAATATATGGAAAAAAGGTAAAGACAGTTTCAAAGGCCAAAGGATGTGAGTTACTACTCACTGGCTTACATGAATGAATAAACTTCATGCTGTTATTATGTCAACAGAGCTGTTGAAAGCTCTTTATCCCTAACATTTAACCACACTTTACAAAATATCTTTAGGATTTTTGAGGATCTTAAACTTACCTTCTGCCAACAGCCTGGCATTGGAAGTCCATCTGGACCCTGTGGTGGAGAAAAAGAAAAGAAAAAAAGGAAATATGCAGTGTCAGTATATGTTTATATGTTAATCATTCTTGTTTTTCTTTTCATTTCCTTAATAAATCAATATATTAAAGTTTGAACAGGCTTTTGAGGTAATATGTTTAACTAAACTGAAACCCCAAAGTGGCTAGCCATAACATTTGTGTCAACCCATGTATTTCGTGAGACGGTGATTGTGCCAGTCAATGGTGCATGCAAAGGCAACATTTATACAATAAATAAATAAATAAACAAACAAACAAATCACTTTCATACATTCATTTATGCGTAAACAAACCCGACATGGTAATGAAGCAAGCTGATTAAAAAATAAAGCAATTCTGAATTGGCCATGAATAGTCAAAACCACAAATGTGGTATTGACACTACAAACACTTAGTCTTTGATCAAACATTGTAAACAGGCATGGGAAAAAGTCAAACTGAACTATTCATTCAAATTATCATTAATAATTTTATGCAAATGTATTAAAATGCTATATTGCATTTATACATACATGCTCTAAATGTTTACCTTCTTTTTAATAATAACATGTTTATTCAGATATGAAAATGACACAGTCAAATGTATAATTATCTGAAGCCATTAAACATGGTGATTCAGGATATGGATTGAAGACTCATTATTTTCTTCTTCAGCAGGATCGAGTGCCCAATTGGAACAGATTTATGAGAGGGAACAGAGGAGGGTTAAAGGCTGGAGGAGAGAGACTCATGCTGACACTGAACTAAATAACCTCTCGGGAATGGATTATTAGGGGATAAGGTTAATTAAGACTGGTTATTTCATCTTAGGAGAGCAAACACTATTCAATAAGCAGAAAGAGTATGGTACTTATTTTTATTTTTACTTAGGAAAACAAAAATAAGATTTAGTTATTCCAGCAGGTGATAAAAATCACTAAAATTATGATATTGGTGCGAGTGAATGCAGTTTTCAGTAAATATTACATACATACAAAAGAGTGAATTAAATTATAAGGGAATAAATGAGTGCTATTGATGCTATTATACAGTTGGGGAAAAACATGTTAAAATGTCTTTGACTTTACCTGTAGAAAGCAGGCATGCAGTACATGTGTTAAAGGTAAAAAGGCAATGAGATACTGTAAGCTGTGCTCCACTATTTATAAGCCATGCATGGAGGTTAGAGTTGAAGCTTCTTCAGCAAAAGCATGGATGAGAGGTGCTCAGTGGTGTGGGTGCAGAGTTAGGCAGCATGCACAGGAGAGGTAGGAAAACAGGATACTGTACCAATTGGCACGGGGCATCCAGCCCATCCAGGCCAGGCTGACCTGGCTCGCCCTTTTCACCCTTAAAGCCCCGGAAACCCTGTGTCATAGAAACGGAACTAGGAGTGTTACTAGGATAGAGGCTGCAGGCACCCTTCCGGCCACCCTTTGATAGGGCACGGAACAGGGCAGAGAGGAGTGGCCCAGTGGTTTCTTGGTAATCATGTTAACCACCTTTCCTTGATATGAACAATGTTTACCCTAAAAGAGACCAATTTGCCCAGGCTTTTGTAATAGAAAGCAACTTGCGTGGTTTGCAAGATTAGGAATTCCATCTCCTAATCCCCCGGGAACAGTTTTAAAAAGATTGTTGGAAGTATTTGTTTTAGCAAAACAACATAGCTATTTCACATATCAAGGATGAGGTGGGTTGCCACTTTGACCACGGGACAACTCTTCCCTTAAGGGTCCGCTGTCTTACTTCAGGGGCAGTTTTCCAGCTCTCGGCTGGGACATACCAGTGGGCAGGGTGCATCTAATCCAGGGGCACCCTGTTCTCCTTTCTCCCCCTTAGGCCCCTTTTTGCCCTTCTTTCCCTTCTCCCCCTGTGGACACAATAGTTTGGTCAGCTGAAGAATATGTCTGATCGGAGTTTGTAAAGTATTCTAAAATGTGTACAGTGTTTTGAGACCAGTATTTTGTGTGTGCGTGTGTTTTTATTTTTTTATTAAACTATGTATTTAAAGCCGAACTTTACTTTTTTTTTGTTCATGTTGATATGGTAGTCTTGTAGTTTAAAACTTAGTTGAAAATTGGTGGTGTGGATACAGCATAATGAAAAAGCTGATGCCATTGTAAATATGCTATATTCATTAATTTAATTTATTTATTTTATCTATCTATCTATTTACCGAGAGGGGGGGGGGGGGGGGGGGGGGGGATTGTGGGTTGTGAATGGGGGTTGGAGACCTCCTCTTTTAAGGCATAACTGGAGTCATGTAAATGAATTTAAACATTTTTAAAAGGTACTATTCATTTCTTTAGGGGTATTTAATGAAGAAAAAACAAACTGTGCACCTTTAACTACTGAAACATAATATATTAACACTGTATTATATAATATATTATATAATATAAACTGTCACATTATAAAAAATCAATGCATAACTGAATGAAATGTACATATTCAAACATCCATTATAGTTTTAATGAGAAGTGTTACTAGGAAGGGCAGCTTGTGAGGGAGGCTTTGAGGGAAAGGAAAAGTTAGATGGGAATACCAGACAGGAGGAAGTGGGATGAGAGTAGGTCAATTACAGTTGAAGGGAACAGGATTGACAGTAGTCTTACAGGGCACAAGGGAAGAGAAAGAGAAGCAGGGAAATCCCCCACAACAGCCCACTGCCCAACAAACCACACAGGAAAAAGAAACTGTAACAGAGAAGTCAGTTACTTCCAACATTCATTGCTTCTTGGTTATATCACTAAATTAACCATTATGCATGAATTAAACATTATACACAAACAGCTCAACCCATTTGATTACATTCATTTGTCATTTTAAATGATGAAAAATGAATCTATGGTAAATTTGGATTAAATACCAAAAACAAATGCGATGAAATGGTCATGCTGTGTGCGCACATATTTATAAGAAAGGGATGCAGTTTTATAGGAAAATTACAAACTGGAAATATAGCCGCAAGCGGCAATTATCAGGGTCCAAGCACAAACGACTCATGAAGACAATATTATACAATGGTCATGTCTTTAAGTGTATCTGTATGAAAGTATTATTCTATGTATGTACTATATAAGAATAGACAAATAATATTATAATTTCAATTTTAATTGCACAGCAATACATTCAGTCATGTCTGGCAACTTTGGAGATCACAGATTTCTTTGCAAACTGATAAGACTTTTAGATTTTAGATTAGACTTCATTAAATTTTATGAAACTATAATGAGTTTTATGCATAGTAAATCTATTGAACAATTTACACATAATTTAAACTATGAGACCTAAAAGGGATTGTTATTATGTGATTCCGCTTTCTTTAATTCTTTTTTTTCTTCTTCTCATGATTGTCTGGGAATGATGTGTGGGAAATTTTGTGCGAATCGGACCAACTGCCTTCAGCTTGAAAATCAGAGGAATTTTTTTTTCTTGTCTGTATGGTTGCGGAAATCTGAGCATATATATGTACAATATCAGTACATATGACGTGTATAATATCAGTCTTTAAACGCAAGATATTTAAAGTATATAATTTAAAATATACTTGCAATAGTTCCACTTTAGCACAATCAAATATACTTAAGTATATCTTTAGTTGGACCTCAGCACTACTTCCGCAGCACAATAGGAACTACCAGTGACGCAAGTGTACGCTGATTGGCCGAACGCACGTGAAAGCCGGCAAAAAAAGCCGCATACACACAGTTTATTATCTATATATTTACTCCACAAACTAACTCTACGAACATGGAAAACAGTGATAGATCGACCTCTCAACCTTATACGCTTAGGAGAAAATCTAACGCAGCTTTGAGGGGACCAGGCGAAACATGATTATGTATTTCTGCTCAGCTAGCGACATTGGGTATCAACCACATGGCAAACGGCAAACGCTATAAAACTTTTCCATATACTGTCTACTTTCTTTGTATAACAGTTCTATCTAATAACGTATTAGACAGGACCAGTGTTGTGCTAGTTACTAGAAATAGTAACTAGTTACAGTTACTAGTTACTTCATTCAAAAAGTAACTCAATTACTTTGTTGATTACTTACACCAAAAAGTAATGCATTACTGTTAAAAGTAACTTTTTAGTTATTTAAAAAAAAAACATTCTTTAATGTTCCCATTAATGCCCTTTTATGCGTTATGGTCTATACAAACACAAAACTGACAAACAGAAAGTCATTTTTAAACACTATTTTGTTTAAGTCAGACCAGCACAAACTGAATATGTCACAAGGATTTCTGAGGTGACTCGCTATGACTCGCGATCTTCGCAGTAGACGCGCCAGAGAGAAATGCACATTTCATACGGATTACATAAGCAGAGAGCAGTCTGTAGTCTGTTTTCTTTCATTTTGAATTGTTCTGTTTAAAAGTAGACATGTCTGTGAGGCAAGTATGTTACCTTATATGCCGAGTTCCGGTTCATTTATGAGACGAGCTCCAGTTCATGCGCCGGCGCCTCCGTTTCGTGATTATCTATCGTCTGCTATATTTACTTCTTATTAAATCCAGGCAATTGGTTGATGAAACATTGATTAAAATTAAGATACAATTAATACAAAACGAAATTCACTTTAAAGAAAGGTTTTGTGCTTTCTGTTTGATGTCTCTGTGAAAGTTTTAAAGCATATTTTAGTGCTGCTTTCAGAGCGCTCACGTCCGTAACGGAGAACTGTCACGTCCGTAACATTGTTTTTTCCTCATAAATGCGAACACTAAAAATAAAATAAAATAAAATGAATATTTTGTTCTGTGGAGACTGAGAGCCAACCCTTCTTCATCCGGTGGGTAGTATTACTTTGGTTTAAGCAGTGTAATTCACAGAATTACTAAACAATATTTTAGGCCTATAAAATTCAGCCCGTATAAATGTGCATTTTCTAAGCTTAGAAAATGGACAAAATTCATTTGATTCTAATCATAATGTAACATTATTGTGAAATTGATTTCTTTATAGGCTATTTGCTATTAGTATAGTAAATCCTTATGTTTTTATCCAACTAGGCTATGTGTGGGCCTTATGTAAAATACGGGACAAATCGCGTCCCTTATTGATTTGATACGGGACGCATCATTTTACTTGTAAATACGGGACAATTCCGTATTTTAAGGGACGGGTGGCAACCCTACCACCAATCCTACAATGCGTCGTTGCTGTAAACAGGTTAGGCTGTAGGCTACACTTCAGCCAAAATTAATTAATTTAAAAAAGTAACGGACAATGCACCCTATGGTAACGGTAACGGAGTTAATTTATTTAAAAAGTAATGCGTTACAGTATGAGTTACTGTCAAAAGTAACTGCGTTTGCCCAACACTGGACAGGACTGTTAGATCGTAAACTAATGAAGACTCTAACTGACTCTAAGCTGATTCACATCAACCTATAGGAATATGGCACCTATCACAGCGTCCCTATATAAGGTTCATTCAGTATTATCAGCAGCTTTATCACGTTGCTCAGGAGCTAATTAAATGCATCACTAGGAATTGTGCAATTATGAATTTAGCTAGATGAATCCTTTCCCCACACGGACTTTACCTCCGATTCAAGTTCATGAACTTGAACACGGGAACTTGCCGCATTGATTATAAGCTGCTTGATATGCTTAAGGCTCATTTGGTTATTGGAAACATGCTTATTTCTTTATTCTTATCTGATTATTATTGCCAACATGCTGTGTTTAACTTAGCACTATTCACTACTTTTATTCAAACACTAACAACGTCATAGCTTGATGATCCCGTGAAGGAGTGTGGAATCATGGGAATCGTCTTCTACACCTCCACAGCAGATGGAATCAGAAGAAATCATGTTCGTGAATGAGGAAGCACACTGTATTTTTTTTTATTTCTACAGGAGTAAAACCAACAACCAAGGATAACGAGGATATGACGGATATGAAGATGTGACAGGCGACGCAATGATATGGACCACTTCACTGGTTAAAGTGGTGTATTTCTCTTGATTTAAACGTTGTTGGAAACATTTGGGATAATGCAAGTATACATCAACAAAAAAACAACAACTTTGTTCTAGTGATTTTTGGATATTTTAATACAAAATTCTTACATATCGTGCCTTTAAAGATGCTGCGTATCATCATCACACTTGTTGCATTAAGACATCCAGGTGTTATTGGTAACATGTTTGTGGCTTAACAAACTCACATCCTCAAATACAAAGATTCCATTTCTAAAGCCAAAACATCCTACTACTCCAGGTTAATCAGCTCCAATGAAGGTAATTCAAAGGCTCTTTTCTCCCTCTTTTCCAACATCACAAAACCACCTGATTCACTTCCATACCATCTCTATTCTTCTGACTTTTGCAATAAACTGGCATCTTTCTTCACCACAAAAATTCAACACATTCATCAGCAACTTCGTCCCTCAGTCCTAAGTACACCCATTTCACCATCATTTAATCCAACCCATCCATTATCAACATTTACCATTCCCTCTGTAAACCAGATTTCTACTCTCATTCAGAAATCAAATAGCCTACCTCGTCCTGTCAACTAGACCCTCTCCCCTCTTCTCTTGTCAAAGCTTCCATTCCTGCTCTTTCCCCTCTCATCACTAATATCATTCAGGCCTCCCTCACTTCTGGCACTGTACCCTCTCTGAAAACTGCTGCTGTCACTCCCATACTCAAGAAACCCGGTTCTGATCCAACTGACCTCAATAACTTCCGCCCCATCTCGAACCTTCCATACATCTCCAAACTTCTTGAAAAAACTGTTGCCGCTCAGCTCCATACCCACCTTTCCTCCAATAACGTTTATGAACTTTTTCAATCTGGCTTTCGCTCTCTCCATAGTACTGAAAAAGCCCTTCTCAAAATTACCAAT